TATATATATATATATATATATATATATATATATATATATATATATATATATATATATATTATATACAGAGAAAGAACCCCCCCACCACTCTGAACAGCAGCAAGCAATTGTGTGGGTTTCTAGAAGCGGGCAGCAGCAGCAGCAGCAGCAGCAGCAGCAACAGCTGCAGCAGCAGCAGCAGCAGCAGCAGCAACAGCTGCAGTAGCAGCAACAGCTGCAGCAGTAGCAGCAAGAGCTGCAGCAGCAGCAACAGCTGCAGCAACAGCAGCAAGAGCTGCAGCAGCAGCAGCAGCAACAGCTGCAGTAGCAGCAACAGCTGCAGCAGTAGCAGCAAGAGCTGCAGCAGCAGCAACAGCTGCAGCAACAGCAGCAGCAGCAGCAGCAGCAGCTGCAGCAGCAGCAGCAACAGCTGCAGCAGCAGCAGCAACAGCTGCAGCAGCAGCAGCAGCAGCAGCAGCAGCAATTGAAGGAAATCGCAGCATAATGTGCGGCTATCAAATTTATATAAAAAAAGAAAAAATAAAATAATAAAAAATGCATGCATGCAGTCACCATGCATGCATTTATTATTATTATTATTTTTATTAATTTTATTAATATTATAAATATTATAAATATAAATATTAATATTAATATAATTCTTATATTTGCATGCATGCATGCATGCATGCATGCATGCATACATATATTAATTTATCTTATGCATGCATGCATCTATCATAAACGCATGCATCCACCTGCATGCATACACCTGCATGCATGCAGCTGCATGCAACCGCATGCATGCATGCATGCATCTATTATAAACGCATGCATGCATGCATGCATCTATCATAAACGCATGCATGCAACCGCATGCATGCATGCATGCATGCATGCGTACATATGGTGTTGGGTTTGTTTTTGTTTGTTTGTTGTTTTGTTTTTGTTTTGGGTTTTTGCTGCGTTTCTATCAATTGGCTGTTTTCTTCGTTTTGTTATTAAAAAATAAATAAAATAAATATAAATATAAATAAATATAAATATAAATAAATATAAATAAATAAATAAATTAAATAAATAAATAAATAAAAATTTATTTATTTATTTGGTGGCTGCAGCAACCCGAAGCGACTGCTTTTTGTATTGACTCAACTCTAACACCAAAAACAAAAAACAAAAAAAACAAAAACAAATATAAATATAAATAAAAATATAAATAAAATAAAAAATAAAAATAAAAAATAAAAATAAAATTAAATATAAAGTCAAACACATCGTACAGTAGGGAGGTCTCTTTAGAGCAGCATCACCAGCAGCAGCACAGCATGCATGCATGCATGCATGCATGCATGCAGCACTTGTTTGCTGCTGCTGCTGCAGCAGCAGCAGCAGCAGCTGCTGCTGCTGC